TTCCGATCTCCCCAAAACCCCAAAACCCCAAAACCCCGTAAGTATGTATTTTTCATAATTTTAAGTAAAGTAAATAATAACCAAATGTCTTACAAATACTCTAAAATCAATTACAATCATCATTATAATTCATTGATTTCATAGATTACTTACTGTCTTTAGGCATAGGTTTGAATTAGAAAAATAATGATGAAATATTACATAATATTCCAAAAAACCCAATAATTGTTGTATAAATCAAGTACTGTTCTTTTCCTTTGATAAAACCCTAAATAAAATTGAACGCTAATGCACCCATAGCTAAACTGAAATTTGATACTGCAATTGATTAGGAATTATTAGTGAATTCAAAAGCAAGAATTTCAACTGATAAGGTATTATTTGAGCTATCTTATAAGCCCCACACAAATGTCAGCAAGAAGGCAAATGAGGAAAACTTATAGTCAATCATATAGACAAACATTAGACAAGTTTAAAGAGATACCAATAGAATATTCATATAAACAGTTTTTTTATTTCCGTAGTAATCTATCATTAAGCCAGAAATTAAGCTACCCATAATCTCACCTGCTCCAAATGATACCATTGTAAGCATTGACTAGAAAAATTTTTACTAGTCATCTCCAAAAGATTGTGTTTCAATAATAATAATTACTAATATCCCAGAATAAATAGCAATACTTGCTCCAAGCCAAATGAGTTGTGGCAACAAAGGCAGCATCCTTTTAGAAGTAATGAGTTGTAATATTTCTTTTACCTCAATTTTCAAGGAAATTGGAGCAGCTTTTATTGATTATCTTTAAATTGTGAACACTTAATTAATACTCCTATTATATTCATTACATGAATCAGACTTTTGCTCAATTGCTTAGTAGTTTTCACATTTTTTAAACAACCTAATCCTTTCGCAGCTTTGTAATTTTATTATTTCATCATCCTCTTCACTCTGGTAATCATTCTCATTTTCTGCTGGTAAATATCTTTCTTAAGGGATGGGTTCTGCTAAAGTAGAAAATACAACTATAGACAAGGTAGCAATAGTAGCCATAATAAATAGGAATGTTGTCTAATTGAAATGAATCGAAATGAATGCTGCTATTAAACTGCCTAGTACCATTGATATCATAAATATTCCCCAGAATATGCCAAAGTAAAAACCTCTAGTTTCTTCTGTAGCACATTATGAAATATATTTTCCTCCTGCAACCCATTTAAGGCCTAAACAGATCCCCTGAATTATCTAAATTAATATCTATGTAGTATATACAAAGCCTGTATTAGTGATAATCATGCCATTATTTGTATCATTTTAAGAAGAATATGCTGGTGGAATAATAGATAATATCCATATAGTGTCAGATAGAGCAGCAATTGAGAGAGAGAATTTTAGACCTAGATTTTCTACTATATATGATGCTACTAAACATCCAATGCCATAAAATAGATATGACAAAGCTAGACAAAAATTGCCTAATTAATCATAGTTGTTACTGGTTAAAATCTATGTATATGAAATTTGAGTGGGGTTTAACGCTGTGTAAAGAATTAGGAATCCAACTGAACAGTAAACTGCCTTCCCAAAATTAGCGTAATGGTTTTTCTAGTTTTACTGAACGTGCTTCAGTTTGATGAATTCGGAATCTTTTAATGATTTAGTAGACATTATATTTCTATTAATTTAAATTAATAATATATTGTCCATTTTATACTAGAGACTATCATAAGTGATTTACTAATTATTGCAATTTATTCAATTTAAATTCTATATTATTAATTTAGTTTGTATTTTAAGAGCTTAATTATCTCAATTTATTTATACTCAAGGGGTTTTGGGGTTTTGGGG